TCATGAAATGTTATATTGCTCCCAGCATTATTTTCCCTGATCTCACCAACACAAGGAATTTATCATTTGTTATTTTTTGTGCTAGATAATATAAAACATGTTGTGTAATATGTAATCATGTAGCTATTAAAGTCAGATTGCTCAAGTTTGGATTCTGGTTCTATCATTTACTTTTTATGAAGAAACTTTGAATAATTCATCTTTCTGCATCTTTGATTTCTTATCTGAAAAAATGAGCATATTGATTAGATAATTCATGAAGAATGTTCAGCAGAGACTCATAATTAATTAGGCACTTAAGAATAAGTGTTATGACCATTGATGTTTTATTTAAAATGTTACCACCCAAAATTTTTACAAAAAAAGGAACATAGGAAACACTTTCTAATTTTTTTTTAGGAGGCCAGTATAAACTTGAAAACAAAGTTAGACAAAAACAGTGTACACATAAATATAAAAGGGAAAAATAACTTTGTACCAATGCATACAGAAAAATTTGATAAAATTTAACATCCATCCATAATAAAATGATTAAATTACTTAAAATTGAAAAGGGGACTTTTGATCTGACAAAGGGAATCCTAACAGAATCTATGGTATTCATCATACTTAATAAGGAAATATTTAATATTTTTCTTGTGATTATAGAAATAAGAATGACCACTAACAACATTTCTACTGGACAGTTCAATAGTATAAGAAAAGTCACAAAGAATTTATAAAATTTGGAAACAAATGACATGGTTTTGTGCATCAAAAGTTATAATATTCAGAAGTAAATTTAATAATGCACAGAAAAACCTTTCCAAAAATAATGAAATTATACTTAAAGATTTTAAAGAATACATAAATATTGATATTACCTTGATAGTAGTTGATATATTTAGTAAGTTAATTTTTTCTTTTTTGATATGTAGACATAGTGAAATTCTTGATAATTTAAAAAGATGATGTACTGAATCTGAAACTCATGAAGAAGTGGAAGAGTGTAAGATACTCATAAAATGTTTGAAAAACAAAATAAAGATATTTGTTTCATTAGGTAGGTAGGTTTATAATGCATGATAATCAGGATGGCTTTGTATTAGCAGAGGGCTAGACAGATCAGTGTAAGAGAATAAAGGATTCTGAGTAGATTTTCATAAACACAGACATTGTGCTTTTGTAAAGTGTATTGGGACATTAGTTAACCATATAAAAAAAATTAACTGAAATCTATCTGACTTTTTATTCAAGAATCAATTCCAGGTAGAAAAGAGATTTCAATAATAAACCCAAAACTTCGAAACATACCTATAAGGGATTATCTTTTTGCCTTTGTGTGTAGGAATATTTTCTTGATTCAAGAAAGCAAAGTATTTACCATAAAGGAAAAAAAAAGATTTCAGTAAATGACACAATAAAAACATGTGCACATCAAAAGAAACTATAATGTCAGTGGAATATCAAGCAATTGAATGGAAGAGTGACAGAAATGAATGAAAGAGAATAAAAACTGTATGATGATTTAATTTATACAGAAAAAATACATGCAAATCCATGCACATTTACAATGAAAAGCTTAACAAAACTGTCACTTTCTTAAGTGACAAAGGTTTGATATTATATATCACTGAGACATAAAACGGGTGACATCCTATTGTTTGTGGCAACATGAGTAGAGCCAGAGGACATTATGTGGAGTGAAATAAACCAGGCACAGAAAGAAAAATGTTCTCATTTGCAAAAGCTAAAAAGTAGATTATATGGAGGTATAGAGTACAATAGAGGTCAATAGAGGATGGAAAGAACAAGGCAGACAAGGAGTAGCTAGAGGGCGGATAATGGGCACCATTACACAGTCAGAGGAAAGAAAGTAGTTTGGATGCTATATGACACAGTAGGGCAATCCTAATCTACAAAAATTAATCCTACATTTCAAAGTAAGTAGATGAGAAGAGTTTGAAGGTTCCCAGGACACAGAAATAATAATATTTGAGGAGATGGTCTAATTATTATAAACTATCCCACAAACAGGTACAAATATTATATGTCAATTAAAGAATAAATAAAGATGCAAAAAATTCCTATAAATTGATGAGAAGAAAATGACCCAAGTGAGAATGGTTAAATTCCAAAAACCAGTATCAAGTAGCCACTAAACACTGAATAAGGATTTTTTTTTATTGGTTGTTCAAAACATTACAAAGCTCTTGACATATCATATTTCATACATTAGATTCAAGTGGGTTATGAACTCCCATTTTTACCCCAATTACAGATTGCAGAATCACATCGGTTACACCTCCATATTTTTACATGATGCCATATTAGTGACTCTTGTATTTTTAATGAAAAGGGAACAAGTAAATCAAAGCTACAGTGTGGTATTTGTTTTATACCTCTAAGTATTCTCAGAGCAATGCTAAGTTAGGTGAGTATGTAAAATTATGTGAACTCATAGAGTCATTGATGGCATAAATTGCTAAAACTACTTTGGAGAATACTTTCCTATTGCACAGGGAAGTATTAGCTGTAAAAGGGGAAAACTGTGACGTTTAGGGGCCATTTATAACAGGTAGTTTAGTGGGGACAGGGGAAGAGAGAAAGCAGCCTGAGCTCCTTGGGGAAAAAGAACTGCATTCACACAGTGAGTTACATCTTCCAAAATTATTCAAACCCATACTAAAAACTGTTAACAATGATTGCTTTGAGTTGGAATATGAATTTGAGTTGCGTTTACTTTTAATATCCCTCCTTAGAATAAACTAAAATGAAAAGAGCCACAGAAGAAGGAAACCTATTTATAATGCTGCAGATTTTTTGTCTCAAATTACACCACCCTCACGACATCTTACAATATATCGCTGTCCATGTGTACTTCAAAATGGAGTGTGTGATCACTAATGGACTGAAAGTGTTCTTTTAAGTTCTTCACGGGAAGAACCTAAGTTTGTGGATATGTGCCAATTTAAACACGTGCTTTGGTATGATAATCAATCTGTCAGAATAGCAACTCAAGAAGGGTATGAAAAGTGATAGGATGTGTTGTTGTGTACATACACATTTGCTTTTCACAAAGGAACTGAAGATTTCTCATGCTAAAATCAGGGAATTGCAATGATACATTGAGCACACATAGGGGATAGGAGAATGTGAAAGACAATTCTATTATGAGACTTCAAGTCTAAGGAATGTATAATACCCATGAATAAATATGTTCATGGATTCAGGGATTCATCAAATGGTCTTTAAATCATGACAATGAAAACTAAACATTATAAACTGGGGTAGGTTAAAATAGTGGATAGTCATTAAAAGATTTTACATGTAGAAATTTCTTATGATATTATAACAAAGGAATTTACTGATCATTATATACATTGATATTACAAGACATATGTATATATATATATATATATATATATATATGTATATATATGTATATATATATGTATATATATATATATATATATATACATATATATATGTATATATTACACATACAAACATGCACATCAATAGAAAGGTGTTAAACAATACATTAATAAGTAGTATAACATATATACCAATGATTATATGGTTTTCTTTTAGACTTTGTTTATTACTCCTTTGGAAATTTTTCACAAATAATATATAACCTGTTTAAATAATATGGCTTTTTTAAGTGTGCATTTGAGAAAAAGAACTGACTGTTGACAAAGCTTCAGGACTACAAAATATGGCACTAAGAAAGTTTCTGTCATCAATTCTGTCTTCATACTGGAAGAGGAGAAATGTACAACCTTTAAAAACAAGCATCCAGGCATGGTAGCACATGTCTGTAATCCCAGCAGCAAGGGAGGTTGAGGCAAGAGCATTGTAAGTTCAAGGTGAGCCTCAGCAATTTTTTGAGGCTTTAAGCAAATTAGTGAGATGTGGTATCAAAATAAAAAGTAAAAAGGACTGGGTATGGGATCAGTGGTAGCATGCCTCTGAGTTCAATCCCCAGTACAAAAAAACAAAAACAAATAAACAAACAAACGAACAAAAACAAAATAAGCAAGACTCTCACTTCATTCATGTGCATGCATGAATGAAGTGAGAGTCTTGCTTATTTTGTCATCAGCAGAACCATTAATCCCAAAAGTCATAAAATGTGCCATCTTCCCATTATTAGTAATTTATATTCACATTATTACTAGAACATGTACTTTGATGTTCTTCAAGTATGAGAGAACCAGTCCAGTTTTATACTTTTGTGATTCACATGTGCTTTTAAAAAAGAATGTTAAAACATTACCCCAAAATGAATCAGACTTTTAGATCCACAGTATTGAGCTTATACCCTCATGGATTTGAGCTGTTCATACACTATTTATCTTTGTTCTGTTTCACAGACACAGAAGGCTGCGTGCCTAACTATAAAAATACCTTTTCAAAATCTTTTCTGTGTCAACAGGGGGAATACAAACATTTTTAGTAATGGAAAAGAAGATGCCTGATGGCTATTTCATCAGTAAATTGTAGACATATATTCTCATTTATATGGATGACAAACACACATACAAACTCACATTTGGGAAACAATAGTTTTTATTGAGAGGCATATATATGGGCTGTGACTCAGAAAAAGCTATTATAATATTTAATAGAAAGGGAAATAGTAAATATACTGAATAGGAAGCACATGAAAATTTCTTACACACACTAGAGATATTAGTATCACATAAATAAAGTTGAAATTCTTAATAGCAATCTGATATATAAAACGAACTTTATGCTAGCCATGTCACAGTTAATTTTACACATACATTATTTTTTATTTCGAAGGAATTCCTAAAAGTTGCCTTCAAATAACACTTAAATTGGAGGAAAGAAGGCCAAAGTTCTTAGAAGCAACACATCTTATATTTTGCATAACTATAGTTTAGAAGAACACAAAGAATAGAAAAGTTGAATGGGAGTCCTGAGAAGAAATGAAACTCACACCTATTGTAGTCAGAAATATAGTCACAATGCTCTTTAATTTGCACAACTCTTTAGAGTTTAAACATTGCTTTAAAATACATTTTTCTCTGAGAAAATTCATCTTTTGACAGCACCTTCTTCAGAGCTGCCTTCATGGCTTCGTTTCGCAAGCTATAGATGACTGGATTGAGCGTTGGAGGTATTACAGTGTAGAATATGGAGAACATAAGATCCACAGCTGATGGGGAATCTGAAGGAGGTCTTAGAAACTCAAAGCCCGCAGCTGAGAGGAAGAAGGTGACTACAAATAGGTGTGGTAGGCAGGTGGAGAAGACCTTGGTCCTGCCCTCTGCTGATGGGATTCTCAGCACCATTGAGAAGATCCGAATGTAGGAGAGCACAATGGATATCAGACAGATAAATGCTGTTGAGGATGTGAATGCAGCCACTGCAATCTCATTCATGAATTCATAAGAACAGGCAAGTTTCAACATTTGAGGGACATCACAAAAAACTGATGAATAACTCTTTCCCCACATAGAGGAATGGAGAAGTTAACAGTTGTGTGCATGAGCCCAGAGAGGCCCCCTGCCATCCACACAGCGATCACTGCACGCCTGCAAACACTGGGATTCATAATGGTCTCATACTGCAGTGGTTGACAGATGGCAACATACCGGTCATAAGACATCACTGTGAGGATTGCCACTTCTGATGAGGCCAGAGCTATGAAGAAGAAAACCTGAAGAATACACTGACCAAGGGAAATGTAACCACTGTCCATAAGTGAATTTGCAATGGACTGTGGTACTGTGACAGAGATGAAGCAGAGGTCCAGAAGAGAGAGGTGCTTCAAGAAGTAATACATGGGAGAATGCAGACGGTGGTCCAAGGTAATGATGGTAATAATGAGGAGGTTGCCTGTTAAGGCCAGAAGGTATATCACCAAAAAGAGCAGTGCATGTAGAACCTGAAGCTTATGGTCATCAGAAAACCCCATGAGGAGAAATCCACTCTTTGAGGTCAAGTTTACCATGTTCACTCTGATGATTCCAAGTTCAACTCTGTTTAGGAAGCTGGAGTACAGTTAGAAAAGAATGTATGACATTTAACCTAACCATATGTCACATATCTCAGTGTCCTCATTCTGGAGCAAATGATATGGCAAGATAAATTTGTCATCCTTATGATTATTACATTCAATTCAGAAAAATCTTTAGCCATTATTCAGAAATAGAAACTTTAAATGTGCTCAATAAGTCATGAGAGTTTTCTGGGGCAGAACTTGAATCATCATAGTTGGAAATATTGGTGGAAATGACTTCACCTTCAGTAGTCAGTGAAAATAACACTGATATACTAGTGTCATTTCATTAAGTATTCAAATTGTGCATTGAAGCTTCCTTTGTTAACTGTGTGAAATGAAGTAATGAATGTGACCTCATGAATGCATCCAGGAACAGCCCAGTGGCAAACCTAGGGATGTCCATTCAAAGAACAGTCATATTTCTTGTTACTGAAAGACTATTAACATTTTATTAAGATTGCATTTGGTTGGAATGAACTTCACAGAACAATCTTGTAGAGTGAAATAAATCTCAGATTGTGATATCACACTTTATTTCATAAATATGTATAATCATTACCTGTCAACTAAAAATAAATAAATTAAAAAATTGTAACATGCAGGTGCTGCTAATACCGATATCAAATCCTGAGCTTTGGAACTGGAGAGAACTTGCAACTGAGTGATGGTGGCTTGTCCTCAGACAATACCTTTCTACTTTTAAGACTGTAATTTAGGAAGACTTGGGGTAGGACATTTTCAATTAAATTCATTTGAACAAATAATGACATTTTCTAGAATATATATAATTATTTCTATGAGATAGGCAGAGTTCTATGTGGAGGAGTATATGTCTTTCAGTATTATCTGTGTGACTTCCTCAATGAGAAAAAGAAGCCTTTTTTTTTTTTCCCCCTAGAATTTGATATGCATTAGATAGTGGGTTCCTGTTTCTTAAAATAACTGACCAACTAAATAAATAAGCCAACTCTTGATCCTAATATACCATAATTATTAGAGGAGCTAGGCGATACTTTTTCTGTGTTATTATTATAGTATAGTAGAATAACTCCTCTGAGTACTGGAATCATTGTGCTGTGATATTAACCTTTTTTTCTTGTATCTCTGTCTTTTTTTCAGTACTGGGGATTAAACCAGAGCTTCACACAGGCCAGGCAAATGCTTTACCATTGAGATATATCCCCAGCATTACTTTTTTTTTCCTTTATAAATCTGTGGACTTGCTGAAAGGTCAATTGGAATCATTATTACTTAGTTTCTCCTACATAAAAGTGATTCCTTCATTGCCTCTGTCCATTTCTCCACCCTTGACAATGATAGCTAATACAAAGAGTAATAATTAACTGTTTAACTAAGTATCTACATGTCTGATTTCAAATCTGTGCATCCAAAAACTTAGTGATCAAGTTACATGAATCATGCCTTCAGAAATTATGGTTTATTCCATTTGTTAATCCCTAAGCAACAGCAAAAGGCGAAAAATCCATTGAATTAGCATCTTAACTGTATTTGCTATGATTTATTTTGAAAATCCACTAAAACTAATCTTTAGGATACATGGTTTTCCACAAGGAACAGTCTCAGGTCCCAGTCCCCAGCTCACTCAATGTGATTAGGGGAAGGCAGAGCTGCACTTCTTCAAAGGGCTTCTGTAGCCTTCTTGTTCTTACTATTTTCCCGTTCTTCCATCAGGCATGACTATCTCCATTGCTGGAGATGCTAATTCCTGGCTTGCCCTATACCAAATATTGGATGGTAGCTTTGAATTTTTTTGTTTTTGTCTTATTTATTTATTTTTTTTTAGTTGTAGATGGACACAATACCTTCATTTTATTTATATATTTTTATGTGGTGCTTAGGATCAAACCCAGTGCCTTATATGTGCAAGGCAAGCACTCTGCTGCTGATCCACAATCCCAGCCTGATAGCTTTGGATTTTAAAATAAAATATGAATGTATTAAAGCAATTAACTCATGGTTTAAAATTTATTGTCACTGTTTGAAAATCAAAGCATCATCCATTTTCCACATCTAGTATATATTATTGATGTAACCCAAGAAAAATCTCCATCCTTTATCCACTCCATTATGGAGTTTTTCCATAGGAGAAAGGGAGAGGAAAACCACAAGAAAAACTTTGAATACTCTCACATACATACAGAAAGATGTGGGTGCACACACACGCCCAGATTCTATTCTCCACCACTTAGACGAATACATTTTAATTGTTAGCATCTCTGTAGAAATAGAGAATAATTTCTATATCTTGGTTCATAATTGGGAAGTTTTATTATTTGCAATTGATTAGTGCATCTCCTTTCTGCCACTTTACTGTTATTTCCTAGAAGTTGGCATTGCCAATCATTCAGATGAGAAAATTTAGGTGAATTAAGTCAGTCAATTTCTTACCTAAATACAAATGAAATTACCTCTGCCCTTTCTGCTTTCCAAGTCAATGACTACCCTTGTGCTCAGTTTTGCTCTATCTCAAATGTTTGCCCTAATGCAGTTATTCTTTCTCTCTTTGTCTCTCTCTGAATACATGTGTGTAAATAAAATCCCATGTCAAACTCCCTGTTAAATAATGTTGATTTACTGAGAATATTTTTAATGAACTAATTATATTCATCATTATGTAATGTTTATATATACACACAAATACATGTTTATACATCAGATTTAGATAGATATAATTATTTTATCTCACCTGTTCTAAAGAAAAGATCCTTACTAGACATGCAGTAATTTCTTATAGTCTTCCTTTTCTTTATTGCTGTTCTACTGAACACTATACTATAGACTATAATAGTCCATAGTCTGTGTACCTTCTCTCTCTTTTTTTTTTTTTTTTTGCAGGGTAAGTGTTACTGCGGATTACTGAGGATTAAACTCAGGTGCACTCGACCACTGAGCCATATACCCAGTCTTATTTTGTATTCTGTTTTGAGACAGGGTCTCACTGAGTTACTTTGCACCTCAGCATTGCTGAGGCTGAAGTGGAACTCATGATCCTCCTGCCTCAGCCTCCTGAGCCTCTGGGATTAGGGGCTTGCACTTCTCTGCCTGGCTTCATTCACTTTTGTAACCATGTTTTTCATGTTTGTATCACAAGTCCTCCCACATGGCTCTAGCAAATCCACAGCTGACTGTCCCAATGGTAAATTCAATGTTCTCTTGTTATTTTGTTGTTATTTAAAATTCCATTTCTTAAATATACAACACCATTGTACAATTTTTCTTACAAGACATCTCTCTTCTACTGACTCTGTGCCACTCATCATTGTTCCTCCCCCTTCCTTGGTGAATATCATTTCTTGTTCTCTATCCAGGTTCTTTTCTATATCTCTATTGAAACTTGATGGTATTAAAAAATATCTGTCCTGGGGCTGGGGATTTGGCTCAGTGGTTAAGTGCCCCTGAATCATTCCCTGGTACCAAAATTAAAATATGTCTTCATATGTCCTATCATTTATTTCACCCCAAAATATTCTTGTAAGTGCTATTGAAAATAGCCAGGTTAACTTTTTTCTGCCTGTTTGCAATTTTTACTAGCCTAGGAGAGTTTAAAGGACTGCCCTATATTTTCTGAGTTGCAGAAGTTTACATCCAACTTCATCGTTAGCACAGAGTTCCCTCAAACTGGGTTTTTCCCATCATAACTCATCTCTTCTACCAACCAATTCCTTGTCACTCTTATCTTTAAGGCAATTTAACTCATGCTTTAAAATTTATTGTTACTGCTTGAAAATCATGGAAGGTACAATTTCTTTTCATCAGCACATTCTATCAAGCATCAAAATTTTATCTGTTCATTATCTCTTCTAATTATTACCTCTTGTACTAGTAGATAAGTTCTAACCTTAACTTTCTCTGGTAATATTTTGTTAATTCAGGCTTATATAACTTCAATATAACATCTATGTTATTGCTAGGATGATCAGTGATGCAAATCACATCTTGTAGCATTTTAAATTTAACTCTGTTATTTTTATTATGAAATTAAACCCTTAAAACCTAGGATCCAAACAATATCTTATACTATATGTTCCCTGAATGGCTTTCCAGTATTACTCTCATTGTGACTTCTCCAACCTCATGTTAAAACCCAGGTTATAATAATGCTAAATCACCAATTTACTTTCACTGAACCTATCATATTTTATCATTATGCTGTTTATTATTTTAATCATGTTCTTCCTTCTATCTGTAATTCCTCATATTGGAAGTCCTCCTTATCCAATTGGCAAATATTTGTGTCCACTGAGACACCTTACAATTTACTTAACTTTATTATACTAATGTGTTTGCATATATTTCCCAGCATATTTAGCTGTTCTTAATTTGGGGGTAGGGTATTCTGTGTCTTACCTGGAGTTATATCTATGTGACTGACATAGGCACAGGCACTTTAGCAGGTGCTACTTAAATGTTAGCTGAATCTGGAAAGGTTTCACTCACCAGAGCTGAACTTAAGTCAGTAGGAACAAATCTCAGTTAATCCTCATGATTGAATATCTTTGTTGTAGTGTCAAACCATAATTTTTTCATGTAATAAAGGATTAAAATATATATGACATTGAAGAGGGAGCATAGATCCAGGGACATTTTAACTTCCCATTAAGCCAATGACACCTGAAATTAGGACAGTGCTGCCCAGGCACTAGGGAACACTTGTTGGCAAGGTTGGTATTTCAAGTAAACATGATAACTTCCAAGCATGGGACTTTATGGAACTCTCCTCAAGGAATTGCCTCAGAGGAAAGCAGTTAATTATCACCTTGGTTTAACTGAAACTTACAGTCTATGTATTCCAGTTGGGAAAAAGAAATATTTTTTATAACCTGTTTCCTGTAGTATAAGTTCACAGATTTCTGTAGTCAGAAATATTTTTTTCATTCATTAATGATTTCAGGTTAATCATCAATAAAAATCACACATGCTTGTATATG